ATAGCAGTATAGTATTGCAACATGGCATTTGGGTCTTCTAACTAAAATAGGAACATAAATAGTGCCTCATTGCCAGACCTGGCCCACATCTGGTTGACATGAAGTGTCAGCTTGATGACGGATCCAGTCCAGACCTATTTTCTATGAGCCTGGGCCACATAAACCAAACCACAATCAGGCCAGATGTATCATGCCATCACATAAACTGTGCCATCTACGCCAGGCCTGGCCCATATCTGGATGACAAATCACTAACCATGCCAGAAGTCAGCCAGCAGTGCCGGCATGACACCAGATCTGGGTCAGACCTGCCTGCTATGTGGGTATTGTTCAATTAATTAAGACAAAGCCACGCTTTTTTGAATTCGATGATAAGGCAGGGAAACTTCTGACCTATCAAGCCCATGCAAGGTCAAGTCTGCTACTGGCGACATAATATCGGACCCAGAGGGAATTAATGAAGTATTTGTTCATTTCTATTGCGATCTGTACACTTCAAGCTCTCCACCTCAGGCACTCATATGACAATTCAAGACACCTCTTTTGAATATTATCCATACGTCGTGCAATTCAGTTCCAGTGGTTGTGGTATCTCTCGACGTGGAGAAAGCTTTCGACCGCTTCGAGTGGAGCTTAGTCTATGAGGTGATGGATAGGTTTGGCTTGGCGGTTGACTTTATTCTCTGGGTTAAGTTACAATATTCCTCGCCATCCACCTGTATTCATGCTAACAACAACTTGTCTTCGCCTTTTCCACTTGAGAGGGGGACTAAGCAAGGGTGCCCTCTCTCACCCCTCTTAATCGCCATTGCTATTAAGCCTCTCGCAATATGGCTGCGTTCAGAGGGTATATTTAAAGGCATTACAAGGTTCAGTGTGACCCACAAACTCTCACTTTATGCAGACGACTTGCTCTTATACATTTCTGACCCTCTAAACTCATTCCCGGTGCTTTTTAACATACTGGACCAATATGGTACACTGTCAGGGTATAAGCTCAATTATCAAAAAAGCAAGATGCAACCCCTCAACTCCCTGGCCCGAGCTCTTCCCCACTCAATAGTACCCTTTAAGTGTACAGAAACTGATTTAAATATCGCTTTTTTATTTTATTTCTTCTTCTATACCTAAAATGATGAGGGAGAATTTGCTATCCCTACTAGACAACGAGAAAGACTGTGACCATCGGACTTCACTACCATTGTCAGTGGCAGGAAGAGTTAATCTGACAAAGATGAATGTCCTCCCCAAATTATTGCATCTTTTTCAACATGTCCCCATTCTTCTTACTAAAGCATTCTTCGACAAGTTAGAAAAAATTCTGTCACATTTCATATGGGGAGGGAAACAAGCTAGAGTTTGTAAGCCTGTTCTTCAGTCCTCTAAAAATGATGGTGGTCTTGGTCTGCCCAATTTTAGACACTACTATTGGGTAGCTAACATACAAAAACTTTTACATTGGGTTCACAATGACCTCCCTACCGGCCTGGGAACTCACAGGAAAAAGCTTGATTTCTTAAAAAAGTAAAGCTGTATCTAAATAGTGAAAAAAGTTCAATATAATGTAGTGCAGAGCATATTCCACATAACTGTGGTAGTTATGGGTAATGGCAAAAAGTTGAGAAGCACAGGAAGAAAAGCAATTAAGGTTTACTTTGAATTAACACTTCAACTTTAAAACCATGGTTTATCCCTCTGGGCCCATGACAGGAATGA